TATTTTCTCCTTTTTAGTCCGTTGCTACACATGAAAAACGTGGTTTTTAAAAAAGTTTTTTATATAGTTTATTTTCTACTTTATCTAATGACTTGATTAAGTATGAATTGACTAAGTGTTTATAAATACACGGACTAAAAAAATCTTGAGCGACCAGGATTCGAACCTGGGTTGTCGCGGCCACAACGCGAAGTACTAACCACTATACGATCACGGCCAGCGCGCTCACATCGATTGGGGCCGAAGTAACTGTGTCAACAAGCCTCCAGTCTTGTCGGTATCTTTAGAAATCATGTCCTCAATTTTATGGTCCTTTGGGCGTAATTAAATTAAGCTAATTACGGTCTCTAATTGCTAGTTTTTATGATTGCATCTGAAATTGTTAGGCGAAAGTAACCTGCATGCCAAATTTCAGATCTATAGAGCAATCAGAAGTGGGCTAATTTTCGATGTCAATTTTAACAACAAACACATCCACGCGAAGCTGAGTTAATAAAAACGTGTTAAAAATGCAACTTGGCACTGGGGTAAACAACAAGAAGCTGCTTTTAATACAGCAAAAGAAGCTTTGTCTTCTGACACCTTACTAACTCACTATGACCCAGGGAAAAGACTTATATTAACATGTGATGCTTCACCAGATGGTGTAGGAGCAGTCTTGTCCCACATGGATGAGAAGGGTGACAGACCCATTGCTTTTGCCAGTAGATCTTTGAACCAGGCTGAGAAAAATTATTCTCAGTTAGATAAGGAAGGCTTAGGCATCATTTTTGGTGTTAAGAAATTTCATAAGTTTCTGTTTGGTAGGAAGTTCACCATCTTTACAGATCATAAACCATTGCTAGGTTTATTTGGAGAAAACAAAACCCTACCTGAGCATGCCTCACCAAGAATTCAAAGATGGGCTATCACACTAACTGCATACAATTATGAATTGAAATACAAACCTGGATCTGAGAATAGTGCAGATAGTCTTAGTAGATTACCTTTAAAAAACCAAAGCCTTAGCTATATACCAGAAGATGTATTTGTTCTCTTCACTATCATGGATAACTCCAATATAAATGTGAATGATATTAAAAGAGAAACACAAAAAGATGAGTGCTTAATAAAAGTATATGAGCACTGTAAGAATGGTTGGCCTGAAGAGTCTGTGAATGATGACTTAAGGCCATATAAAATAAGAAATAAAAACCTTTGTGAAGATAATATAAAAGATGGAGAAGATGCAGTCCATTATCAGTCAGAGTTGCCTAAATAAAGTATTTGTAACTTAATAAATGATTATGGTGATATGGCAATTTCAAAGGCTTTAAGTAAGAAGGAATGTGATCATCAAACAACTTTGCTAACATCATTAGCACTTACAGAAACTAAAAGAAACTAAAAGGGTAACATCAAAAGTAAATACCAAACAGAAGAAGCTAAATGTGACAATGAAAGAGTAAACAGGTTATTAGCCAAATACCGCACAACTCCTCATATAACAACAGATGTTGCACCATGCGAATTGCTATGTGGTAGGAAAATTAAAACTCATCTTGACCTACTACATCCAACTGTTCAAAGGTCTGTTTCCCAACATCAACATACACAAAAAGTAAATCATGACAAATCATCCATTGAAAGAGAATTTGCAGTTAATGATAATGTGTATCTAAGAAACTATGGGAGAAAGGAAAAATGGATACCAGGTCAAATTGTTCAATGTACAGGACCTGTGTCTTATAAAGTAAAAACAAATGATGGACTTATTGTCCGTAGACATGCAGACCAGTTAGAAATAACTTGTGCAGATAATAAGTGTGAATCTGTCAATCCCACCAAATCTGAACAGTTCACACCAACTCAGTTTGTTCCACAACCAAGTTCTGTTGATATGAGTGAACCAAGTAGTCTGGAGTCAGAAAATGTAAATTCTGGAGTTAATGATTTAAATCCTAGACCTCCTGAGATAGAGAATCCAAATGGTCAGAATATTGAGTCACCAAATCAAAAGCCACTGAGAAGGTCAAACAGGACAATCAAAGTCCCAAATAAGTTAGACCTATGATTTTAAAGGTCAAAAGGACTTTGACATCATTGTTTGTATTTTAATTGTGTTGTAACATATTGTGCATTGTTTGTAAGGATGTAATCTACCATAGTGTTCATGTTACAATATAATTTCTCATTGGTGATTTTAGGATACTGTAAATTGTTCTATTGAGAGATGTGTTGTGTTTACTAAGGGTAAAGGGATGTAATATAGTGAGACTTGTGAAGTCAAGGGAACTCACTCTTCTGTATTAGTATTATATTTATACTGTTATCTTGAGTGATGTCCCTTACATGTTTTTGTATATAAGTGTCTCGTGACTTCCGTCCTCTCTCGTTCTACCATCATGTAGTTAGACCTAATAAACGTTTTATATACAACCACATGCTTCTATCGTCAATCTATCACACATACTTCTATATATTTTGCAATTTTTACGCCATGGTGCCACCCTGCGCAGTCCGCAGCCCCGTCCCCACATTGTGATGCCTCTGGTTAGGGGTACTACTTGAGTACAGTTGGGATAAGTTAAAAAGATATCAGAGACATGCCTATTCTAACGATTATATATATATATATATATATATATATATATAGGAGGGGTTATAGCCCCCTGGCACACCTTGTACCTACGCCAGTTTATAATCATGTTCTTAAGATTATATAGTACATTCTATGTATAAATTCGATAAAAGTAGTTATTACGTATTCTGTATTTTTTTATTTGTAATAACATATTGTAAACGAAATGAGTCTTAAATTCGATTAAAAAATGGGCCTTTATATTATGTATTTTGCAATCATATTATGTACTTCTTGCTGTATAGCCTAGATTCTATAATAATATATTCTATATTCCACAATCATATAGTTTAGTAATCCCTGCCCTAATGTTTTCTTTACTGAATAATCAATATTCTGTAATTCTAAATTGTGTATAAATTAATCATACAATCTCTAAAATTAATCAAAACTATGATCACAATTAAACTCAGCAACCCACTGTATTAATTTACTTTGCTGAAAATAATTTAATTTTCAATTTTTAAGACTGAAGATACATTTTTATAATATTAATGATTATTAGCTCTATAAAATGAATGGTTAATTTTTCTTATATTAATTTTTCAAAGCGATTAATTAATCGAAATGGTTTTATTCCGTTAGCTAGTTTGTACAGTTTATAACTATAATTACAGGCTCAACGACAGAATCAAATGAGAAAAAATGTATAGCCTTATTCTATACAGACACTGTCGATAAGCAACTCAATGACAGTGTCATTGAGAATAGTGTAGGATCAGCCCATCATATAGGCTACAATTGAAAATAAAAGAAATAAAATAAACCTTTATAGTATAGCAAGAGGCTTTGTTATTGAATTTAGAAAATTTTATATTTTATTTCAATGACTGACCTAATGTCTAATTAGATTAAAAGTAAAATTGATATTCTTGTATTGTCATCTAAGATGAATTATCTGGACAGTGAATGAAATAACTGCATTGGATGTGGGTTAACATTGTGAACTAAATAAAAGATCATTATTTATATTTTTAAAAATTGACATTACCTAAAGCTTCAAAGTTATTAGTGACAAAATGGCAGTAGAAATATACCCCAAAATGAATTTAAACTTCTTCATGAAGCATAACTATTGGCAAACAAAAAAGTATGGTATTTCCTAACAAGGGGTGCATACAGGTGATATGGCTATGTAAGACCATTACTAAAAATTAAACCACACAAAGATTTAAAAAAAAAACCCAAAGTAATATGTATGAAAATCTGATGTTTTTTGTTATCGGATGGTAACAAATTTTAAAAATTCATTAAGCAATCTAAATCAAAAAGGAAAAGAAAGTATTCAAAAAAACTAAAACAATGTATTTTTAAAAATTTGCAAGCTGTAGTTGTAAAAAATGAATAAACGATGAATGCATCTTAATAAACAATTAAATTTGTTAAAACTTTAAATAAAAAACAATAAAATATCTTTTCATCTAGAATTTTAAGGAAATTACAATTTTTAATATACTTTTCCCCCTAGTAGTCTGTAAATTAAAATGTTAAGCTTTGATTTTTAAATGTTTAACTTAAAACAGTTTTTGTTTTTTAAAATATATATCTTTACTAGATCTACATACAAGTTTTTGTCAGGTAGCATTTGTGTTGAATTTATCTCAGTTAAATGGCTATGCAAATTTTACTGTGCATCGAAGTGGCCAGTAACAAAATGGCCCATTTTGAAAGCTTTATACAATTTTTTTTTCAAAACAAAACATTGTTTATCATATAAACATCATATATATTTGTATATAACATATTTACATAATAAAACATCAAAATTTAAAAATTAGTGGCACTTTGCAGCTTAGAACTTGATTTTTTAATAAATTGCTATTGGTTTATGAAGAAGTTTTTATCGGGAATTTAAACAGGTTAAAGTTAAATTGGAGGTAGAAATGTGTGTTGATGAAGGCATTGGATAAGATGGTTAAAACCATGCCAGTGTTGGTCATATGATTTATTTTTCTGAAGCATTTTGTCAGGAGCCAATAGTTGGGACTCCATTTGATGGGAACCAATGATTATAGGGGCCCCTTTTGGCAGATTTGTCATGGACATGTAATTAGGGCAATTTTGACAATGAACCAATTTTACTTCATTGATTAAATTTTAGCTGCTTAATAAAAGGATGAGTAATATTAATTTTTACTTAACTTTGATATTAATGTTTGTTTAAGGCTGTAAATATGCTTTTGAACAATGAAATGACTTAAGTTCCAAAAACTTGACCATAATGTAGAATCTATATTGCATTTTTACAAGGTAATACTTCTACAACATAAAAGTTGGTGAAATACACTTTGATAAATTAGCTTAACAGAGAATGCAAACATAATCTAAGTAATATTTTCTGATCTATTCCTTAGTTTCTATGAAAAAAATTTAACAGAAA